GCCACTCTTCATCACTGAATCTCCAGTACCCAGAGTGCCACTCTTCATCACTGAATCTCCAGTACCCAGAGCAGTGGACATTCAAATGCTATCTTATGGATTAGCTGACAATGTCTCAAAAATCAAAACGAATCCGAAAATTGTTTTTTAAATTCTCTTATGTAATAATAATCAAAAAATGTTAGTTTTCAGCCATAAAAGGCATTTAGCTATGACAGAATGCAGATGCTGCAGGGAATATCTAAGGAGAAGTAGGCATATCTGGTGGCACACCGTATCATCCCAACACTAAGAATGCTAAGGGAAACTGCAAGCTGAAGGCCCCGTTGGCTACATAGTAAGACTTTGGTGACTCAAAAATTCTCTCTCTCTCTCTCTCTCTCTCTCTCTCTCTCTCTCTCTCTCTCCCTCTCCCTCTCTCTCTCTCTCTCCCTCTCCCTCTCTCTCTCTTTTTCCCTCTCTCTCTCTCTCTCTCAGACACACACACACAATTAGATCTTTAAATAATAACAATAAACAAATTAACATATAATAGTAAGGTAAAAGGAATTTTAAAAACTTAGAAGTTTTATTTCCTGACATTTTTCATATATTAAAAACTATGTTAAATTTAATTCATATTTCAAATGTTACAAATTAAATTTCCAACTTTAGTGGAAGGGAGGCATGTTTCAGCTCATTTTGAGGAAGGTATAGCCTGTGTCACTAATTCATTCAGAGTTTGAAACCACCCCTGTGAAACCACAGAACGTAAGGCCAAGGGAGGCCCTTCTTTAGAGGGAAACTACCAATTCAATCCAACTTCTATCCTGACAAGAGTTTTAACTCCCTCTATGTTAGGACTTTTCAACAATGGTAATGAACTGTGGTCAGCTTACAGAGTGTTTCACAGAAAACATGAAACCTGTAACATTTATATTACATTAAAAGAATTACATATGGTGAAATCAAGCTATATGGATGGCTTTACATTTTAATTCCACATTATTATTGCTACCATTTACTTAGTACATACACCAAGCCTTATGAAGAGCTGTACCACAGAAGATGAGAACCCACACTCAGGTACACAGAAGGAAAGTGAAGATCTGGGTGTGTCACTCCACACACCCGTGCTTGTCCAGCATGCAGGAAATCTTGAACTTGATCCTCAGCACCACACAAGACCTAGCATTGGAAGGAGGAGGATCAGGAGTTCAGGGGCCAGCTGGGGTTACATGAAACCCTGTTTCTCAGAAAAAGAAAAAGAAAAGAACCTGGGGATCTAGCTTAATGGCAGATTGCTTGCCCAATGCTGCCCTGGTCAATCCTTGAACTAAAAAAAGGAGAAGAAAATAGAGCTAGAAAAAAATGTATTACTAACTCATTACAAAAGAAATGATGGTTTGGAAAAGATTTAATTCCAATCACGGACTTTCAAGAAAGCTAGAATTAAAGCTCAGAAATTTTAGAGAAAATTTTACAGATGTTTTGATAAGCTGACAGAGTGTAGTGGTCTTCATTTAAGAAAAGAATATTGGTCATTTCTATCAAGGAAAAAAGCATTTCTTGCATTAATGATACTTTCACATATAGATATTACCATTACAATTAGAATCTCAAAAATTACATAATCTAAATGGACTTTGTTTGTATACAAATTACCTAAAGGCTTTGAGTTGTCTCCAATCAAACAACAATTCAAGAATTTAGTGAAAATGAACAGTTCTTAATTTTTAGAGTTAAAATATAAGAAACTAGCAAAGGATCTCTGAATTTTACTCCTGTGACCCACTCCATATGATTCAGCAGCTCAGGACACTGATACAGTGTACTGAGAAAGTGACACCGGCCCTGCCTAGTGGCTGCCTGTCTTTGGCTGGATTGTTAAACAAGGGGACAATGACTATAAACTCACTGCCTCTTCTCTAGCTACTGCCCCCTCCTCTCAACACCTCACCTAGCAGAAGACCTTCTAATCCTTTGTCTCTCCCCACAGTGGTCAGGATCAACAAACATTTCCCATAAAAGGCCAGAAGTACAGACTTTGGCCTGGAGGGCTATCAGGCTTTTGTAACAACGACTTGACTTTGTCATGACTGTATAAAAGCAGCCACAGATGAGACCTAAATGAGTTGATGAGGCTGTGTTCCAACTAAACGTCACTTACAAAGCCTGTCTGTGAGTCGGCCTGTGGCTCTGCGGGCTGGAATGTTTCCACCTGAGCTCTGCTGCCTTCCCCACACTCTGGTTAAAGCAGACGGCCTCAGTTAACCAAACGTGAGCCAGGCACACAACTGTACTCATCAAGTCATGGATCTCAGCTCCAAACTCAAACTACTCACTGGAAAGCCCACTTGTGCCTCATGGGTCCAGTAGTGTTATGGAACAAAACAAAAATAAAAGCAAACCTCCCCTTTAAAATGTATTTTTAATTATGTTATGACATTATAAATCAAAAATCTGTCCATACCAAAAAATAACACCCTAACAATTATTGTTAAAGAGTTATATTAACTGAAACAATCTGGGACTCAGTCCTCTGAAAATTTTTGCTAATAGGCTGACAGGCAGGGAAAATAAGGAAAGGTCATCTGTGATTATAGCTCAGTGGTAGAGTACAGACTCTGAGTTTAACCTCCAGCGCAAAAAAAAAAAAAATATATCCTAAGAGCACAAAATGGGTACGCACTCCCATTTTCTCTGAATCTAGAGTACACGGCGCCACCTAATGGTAAAAAAGTAGGCCACCCATCACTACAAGTAAGGCTTCTGGGAACTAAAAAATTATTTACCTGAAGCTGAAGCAAAACAACCAGGGATGTGGGGAGACCAGATTGTACTGTAAATGACACTCTCATGGCCTCTAAAGGTACACAGAGAATTTCCAACAGTTGGATCCCACTGGAAACAAATGAGATCAATTAATCAGCAAAGGTAAACACAAATGTATACTTTTTATGTAGCACTATATGTATAACAAATATATCTCATGAATACCACACACACATGCGTGTGTGTGTGTGTATGGGTGTGTGTGTGTGTATATATACATACATATATATGATTTTAAGGTGTATTTTTACATAACATAAGGTAGTCTTTAACAAACAAAATAAGGTAATTAGGTTGTAGCCAAGACTATTTTTTTAAATTCTGATAAACATTTTAATATACACTTTTTAAAAGAAAACTAATTGATCACATGTAAAGCTACAGAATATTTTAGAAAAAAAGTGTTAACGGACGCTTGATACTACATACCACTTTAACAGTCTGATCCCACGAGCCGGACACTACAAGTTGTTCACCTCTGGTCTGGCTCCAATCAACACTATACACCTAAAAAAATAAATTCTGAATGTTTAGGAACCAAACAGCATCAAATTAAATATTACATTTTACTTCTTTTTTTTTTTTTTGGTTTTTCAAGACAGAGTTTCTCTGTGTAGCCCTGGCTGTCCTGGAACTCACTCTGTAAACCAGGCTAGCCTCGAACACTCAAACTCAGAAATCCGCCTGCCTCTGCCTCCCAAGTGCTGGGATTAAAGGCCACCACCGCCCGGCCTACATTTTAGTTCTCTATTACAGTGTTAATGGCTAGTCACTAGCTTACTCTATGAAAAGGTGTGCCTGTCCATTCCCCCATGCTAACTCCCTGGAGACTGACCCTAGTCCGCCGTAATACAAGTCTACGGTTTCTAAATCTCCTTCACCAAGCCAAGCTATACCTAGTGTACGTCTACCAACTGACTGCTACCTATAGCACCACAGAGAAATGTCAGAGCAGAGCACACAGTCATCTTTAAAAGCTTGCTTCCTCGGTGTTCATCAGAAAGCATTAAAATTCAATTACTAGCCCTGACTGTCCCTCCTCAGAAGAAAAGTTTACAGGAAGCAGTGCTACTCCATCCGACCTCTTGGCAGACAGCTCTGACTACCCAGCAATGCTTCTCCATCAGAAGCTTTGTCTACACAGCAGTGCTTCTCCATCAGAAGCTTTGTCTACACGGCAGTGCTATCCAGTACATACTCCTTTGTCTACACAGCAGTGCTACTCCAGTGCACACTTCTTTGTCTATGCAGCAGTGCTACTTACTCCAGTGCACACTCCTTTGTCTCAGCACACCAGTTCAAAGCCGTCTGAGCACTTACACACCATTATCCTACCACTGTGTACAATAAGCTATATACACATCCCTACCATAACTTATGTCCAGTGACATTTGTGCCTAATTATCCTTTATGAGAGCAGCCCAGACACACACCTGGGCCTATCACTGAGTATGATTAGCCAGCAGGCTATTTTGAGTCTTAAAACTTTAGCTCCAACATATGTGTAGGAAATGTGTGTGGGTTTGTTGAAGAAGCTGCAGGGAAACATCGCTAATACTGATCTGCACTTTATTTAAAATTCTGATGTTTTGTCACCTAAGACATTGTGGTTGGTTGAGTAAGAAAGGCCTCCATAGACTCATATACTTGAATGCTTATTTACCAGGGAGTGGAACTGCTCGTTTCGAAGGATTGGGAAGTGTGGCCTTGTTAGAAGAAGTATGTCCCTGAGGGTGGGCTTTGGGGTTTCAAAGGCCCATGCTAGGCCCAGCATCTTGGCCCACAGACCCTAGACGTAGCTCTCAGCTACTGATCCAGTGTCTGCCTCATGCGACCGTGCTTCCCACCATGATTATAATGGACTGAACCTCTGAACTGTAAGCCAGCCCCAATTAAAAGCTTTCCTTTAAAAGGGCTGCCTTGGTCATGGTGTCTTTTCAGTCACCAAGACAGACATGGAATCCAAAAAAGTCAAACTCGGAAAAGTGGTGACCACAGGCTGAGAGGGTGGAGGCAGAAGTGACTTTGGCAAATGGGACAAAATTTTAGTTATAAAATCGATACATTCTAGAGATATGAGGTTAATAATCACATATGCCTAAAAGATGCTAAGGAGGTTGATCTTAAACGTGTTTTCCACACACACATGACAGTACCTACAGTGATGACAGAGTTAATCAACTTTACTGTGGAATCATAACGAAGTGCCTACTCAGTGACTATGGTAAAACCTACAAATACTGCTAATGTGTTAAATATAACTTTTCATTTGTTACCTATGCTTCAATGAAATTGGTGAGTATAAATTATTAAAGTTTAAGTAAGTAAGTGAAATAGTTTATGTTTTGTACATCAAGGATGTTTTTACATTTTTTTTCTTAAAATGTTGATTATGCTTAGTGTGTACATATCTATACCCAGCACTAGGGAGGCAGAGGCAGGAAGCCAACTTGGTGACTAGAGTGATGTCAAGGTCGGCCAAGGCTACATATGAGACTACATCTCAAATTCCCATCAAACAGACTGTAATAAAAGAATATCCACAGTGTTTCACACTCCATCCCAGTCCTGCCCTTCCACTACCCATGCCCAAGCAAGAAGAGAAGAAAACAAACCAACAGCATGACAAGTGAGGTAGACAGCCCTTGACTGACACCAGAGATTGTCCTCTGGCTCTAAGTGCATGTGCACTCAGTCTCACATGCGCTCACATGCTCACCCACATATGCAAAACATTAAACTAAGTTTAAGTTTAAAACAGACCTAAGTACAAAAGGATTGCTATGATGGAAGATCATGTTCCTGCAGGACTTGAGGCTGGCCCAAATGTTAGTAGGCTTAAGAAGCAGAGGTGAATCAATGACCAGAGATACCACTAGAAACACAACGACACTGTGTGTGGTAGCACGTGCCTGTGAGACCAGTACTCAAGAGTTAGAAACAGTTGTATCAGCCTGGGGTGCATAGTAAAAATCTCAAAGGGAGAAAAAATATATATAAGAGGAAGATTCAGTACCCAGGGATTGGGGCTGGGGAACACTGGAAGATTTTGGGAAACTGTGAGTGAGAGCGGTATTTAAAATATAGACGACTAGAGGAAGAAAGATGCTATGACACATCACACATTCTGAATATCTAAGACAAATGGGCAATTCCCTCAAGTTCTAAAATCAGCTCACAGCCTGAGAGATGCTTGGGGACACAGATGAAAAGAGAAACCTGGGCTCCACGGAACCAGCCTCAAGTCAATTCATTCAACTGTCAACAGAACTAACTAAATATTTAGTATTAGCAGCAAGGGCATGAAGGTGAGATATCTGGAATGGTAGACAAGCCCAGCCCACATGGACCTTATCCTTTAGGAGAAGGTATCTACATATACATAAACATAAAAACTATGAAGAAAAGTAAAGCAGAATAACAAGACTTAACAAGGGCAGCCCGTTACTTCTCAATACAAGTCAGGGGAAACATGCCCAACAGAGACCTGAGCATTATAAAATACTAGCCTTTGGGGAGAGAGAGCAAGGAAAGACTTGAAGCAAGGGACAAGTTTGCCCTCCACCCAGGAACACAGAGAGTCAAGAATTAAGAGAAGAAATGTAACAGGCGATGCCTACAGTTTGCTGTTTGATTCCTCTCAGACTATTGCCATCAACCATTAGCTATGACTTAAAAATACAGTAACTCTCTGGCCACCCTCCCCATCCACCCCTGCTTGTTTTTATGCAATATGGCCTCTATCCAGCTTGAATGAAAGCATATTTGTAAGTACAGATTAATGTCACTGCCCCTGTTCAAAGCCTTTCAACATTACGTGGCTTCTGCAGCTTTTCAGCTTCCCTCAGCATTATATGAGATTCATCCATGATGATTTGTATTGCCCAAAGGTCAAAATCATGCAAAACTATGCATGCCTTTGGAGCACATACATATGTAAGCATGAAAGTGTAAACAGAAAGCTGAAGAAAGCAGTTGCTCCTAGCGAGAAGGAAAGACGAAGGGGAGATGGACGGATTATAAAGAGGTAACCAGGGGACTCAAGAGCACAAGTAATGCTTTATTTCTTAAGCTACATGGTAAATAGTCAAGTGTCCAATGTACCATTTTTTCATCTTACACACACACACGTATTTATGTATGTATGTATACACACATGTATGTATGTATGTATGTATGTATACACACATACATAAAATATTTCCTAACAATACATGTCAGCAAGGCCTTCCCACAGATCTCCACTCAATGGCAAATGCTAACTGTTCAAGCCCATGCTTCCTCAGTCCTTGCCTTCCTGGTACTCTTTGCTTCTCCTCCCACACTGCTACTGACTTTTCTGCCTGGCTCTGCATTCATACTCTCCCTCAGAATCAAGAATGTTCTTCCTGCCCCACCTCAGTCAAGAGTCTCCTCACTGTGCCCACTCTCAGCCCTTGCCATGACCTCTCTCCATAGAGCAATCAAGAACCCAGGACACACTGCAGAACTGCTCATTTTCCCAGTGAGGCCAAGCACAGTATCTCACTCTAAGCAGACCTATGGAAAGCTCTTGGAATGCAGAACAAACTGGATGGAAAACACATCTCGATCACTGTGTGCTGACGGTTTCTTCTGTTTCCAGTTTTCCCCTCCACAACCACTGGAAGAATAGACACTGCAGACTGTCAAATTAGATACAAAGAAACAACATGCAATACCTGGCTAGTTTCAAAAGCAGGGTCCTATAGATGAAATTATTCTTGGCACTGAATAAAATTAATTGGAAAAATAGGAGAGAGAAAAACAAATTAAAAATCTGGCAGTATTTTGTGCCTCAAAACCAGTTAAGCAGATATATTTTATAACGAAAACTAACTCTCAAAGAATATATTTTATAACGAAAACTAACTCCCAAAGAGCTTGTGTTAATCTGCCCTAAAGTACTGCCCTTTTGTAAGGTGATCTACTTAATCAAAAGAAGTCAAATAGAAACTTGCTCAGAATTTTCACTTAACCTGCATGAATGCAAAAGAAAGAGACAATGATCCTTAATCTCAGCGATTAAAAAGGGCTTTTTCTTTTACTGCAGAAAACTTGTAAGTCTTTTTCAGTATGGAGATTTGAAAGTTTCCATGAAGACACAACACAGAGTATCCCACGCAGCTGCCATTTTGTCCTTCACTCTGTTCCTCTTGTGTCCCTGTTCCCCGTCAATAGCTGCTGAGTAGAATGGTTACTCTCAGACCGGTTCCCTTACTGTCAGAGCATTTCACTCCTAAGCGCCCAGCAGACAAGCACAGATCACATACACCCCTTGAATAGTAAGAGTGGCTTCCCTAAAGGTATCTAGTAAGATGTATTTGTCTGATTGTCACAAAAATGTCATTTACAGCTAGTTTTGTCTGTTGAGTCTGTTCTAGACTGACATGCCCCTTCCAACTCTGCTTCTTCTCCCCACCTTCCAGTGACATCTGTCTTCTGAAGGAATGAAGTTGTTCACCCTGCACACGGCCCTATAGGCTGGA